GCAAGGCTTTCTCAAAATTTGAAATTCAATTAATGTATTACATCAAAACAACAGGCTAAAGAAGAAAAATCACATGACATATCAATAGATCCAGAAAACTCATCCAACACTCATGCATGATAAAAACTCTCAGTGAACTAGGAATAGATGGGGAACATCCTCAACTTGATAACAATTACCTACCAAACCAACAGCTGATATCATGCTTAAGGGTGGGAAATCCAAAGATTTTCTACTAATATTGTAAAAAAGGGAAAGATATCCTTGGTCACATGTCAGGTAAGTTAATATAAAACTAACAAATAAACAAAAAATCTATAAGAGGAAAACTATCAGACTCTGATAAATCAAAGAAGAGCTAAATAAATGGAATATATTTCATGTTCATGGACAGGAAGACTCAATATTGTCTGGATGTCAGTTATTCCAAACTGGAACTAGAGATTAAATAAAATTCCAATCAAAATTCCAGTAAGTAATTTTGGATACTGACAAATTGATTCTAAAACATATAGAGAGAGGCAAAAGACCCAGAATACCCAACACAATATTGAAAAACAGGATGGAAGTTGAAGGATTAATACTATCAAACTTGAAGACATACTCTAAGCTACAGTCATAAAGACAGCGTGATTTTGGGAAAAGGACAGACATATAGATCAATGGAACAGAATAGAAAGCCTAGAAATAGACCCACATAAATATAGTCAACTAATTTTTGACTAAGGAGCAAAAAAATACAATGGAGCAAATATAGCCTTTTCAACAAATGATGCTGGAAAAATTGGACATCCACATGCAATGCAAAAAACAGAAAGAACTTAGACAGAAATCGTACACCCTTCACAAAAATTAATTCCAAATGGAACACAGCTCCAATTGTAAAACACAGTAATATAAAAACTTCCAGATGATAACACAGTAGAAGCGAAGATGACCTTCGCTTTGTCCATGACTTTTTAGATTCTATGCCAAAGGCATGATCCACAAAAGAAACGATTGATAAACTGGACCGTATTAAAATTAAAACTTTTTGCTCTATGAAAGACATTCTCAAGAGAATGAAAAGACAAACTGCAGAGTGGACAAAAATATTTGCAGACAACATATCAGGTAAAAGATGCTAATGAAAATATGCAAAGAACTGTTAAAACTCAATGATATCAAAACGAAAATTCCAATTAAAAATGGGCCAGAAACCTTAACAGACATCTTACTAAAAATATATATACAGATGAAAATAAGCATATGAAGATATGCCCCCCATTGTATATCATCAGGTAAATACAAATTAAAACAATAATAAGATACCACTACATGCGTATTAGAATGGTCCAAATCCAGAACATGGACAACAATAGATACTGGTGAGATTGTGGAGCAAAAGCAACTTTCATGCACAGATGATGGAGATGGAAAGTTCTACAATTACTTTGGAAGACAGTTTAACAGTTTTAAAAAAACTAAACACTCTTTTGCCGTATGATCTAGAAATAACACTCTATGATATTACCCAAAGAAGTTGAAAACTTATGTCCACTCAAAACCTGAATATGGATGTTTAGAACAGTTTTGTTTATAATTTATGAAACATGGAAGCAACAAAGATGTCTGTCTGCAAGTGAATGGATCAATGAACTGTTATACAGCCAGAAAATTGAATATTGTTCTGTATTAAAAAGAAATCAGTTATTAAGTCATGAAAAAATATGGAGGAAACTTAAAGTCATATCACTAAGTAAAATAAGTCAATGTGAAAAGGGTAACTATTGTATGATACAACTATATGACATTTTGAAAAAAGCAAAACTATGGAGACAAGTTTGAAAAATGAGTGGTTTCTTGGGGTTGGGGGAAGGTAGGAGTGAATAGGAAGAGCACTAAAGATGTTTAGGGTAGTGAAATGACTATGATACTGTAATGGCAGATACCTGCCACTATACATATCAAAGCCCATAACATACGCAACACCAAGAGTGAACTCTAATGTAAACCATGGATTCTGGGTGATAATGATGTGTCACGGTAAGTTTATCAGCTATAACCAATGTGCCACTCTAGGGGGGGATGTTGACTACAAAGGGGGCTGTGCTTGTGTAGGGACAGGTGGTATACAGGAAATCTTTGTATCCTACACGCAACTTTGCTGTGAACTTAAAACTGCTCTGAAAAACTAAAGTCTATTTAAAAAAGGAAAGGAAAAAAATCAATTTGTCAAATCGAAAGACTTAAAGGAAATAAAAACATATTGAACGGATGAAAATAGAAACACAAGATGTCAGAATTTTGGGGATGCAGCAAATGCAGTGTTAACAAGGAAATTATAGAACTAAATCCTATATTAGAAAGGGCATTTCAAATCAGAAATCTAAAATATTATCTCAAACAATTTAAAAATAAGAGCAATATAAAAGTCAAAGCAACTAAAAAATAGGCGAATATTAAAAGAGCAGAATTCACTGAATGGATTACAGACCACAGTATAAAAATCAGTAAAAATTACTGTGGTTCTTTGAAAAGCCTCTAGCAGAGTTAACAGAAAAATAGAGAGAAGGCACCAAAAAAAAAATAATAATATAACAATATTGTCAGAACATGGGCAAGAAACAGGAAGAGAAATCTCCTTAACAAAGAGGATATAACATATATGGCTAGCTAATAGGCATATAAAAAGTTGTTCATCACTATCAGACTTGAGGGAAATGTAAATGAAGACTATAATGAGCAGAACCAAAATTTTAAGTGAAAATACCCCAACCTAGCAGGGATGTAGAGAAACAGGATCTTTTATAATTACTGGTAGGATATAAAATGTTATTTATATGTTATCTATATTCTGTAGCCACTATAGAATATAATTTGGAATTTTATTAAAACTAAACAAACATTTTCTATTCTATGGTGCAATTTGCACTTCTGGGCATTTATCCCAGAGAAATAAAAGCTTACGTCCACACAAGAACATCCACACTACAATTGCTTTGCTCCTGTGATGGTATGTTAGCTTACTGCTCACAAGTCGTGGTTATAGAGGTTATACAATAGTTAGCAAAAGTCCTGCTTTCAGTTCTTACACAATTTTATGTCAGCAGAGGTAATGTTCAGGTGATATGCACAAGTACGGCTAAACAATTATGTAGGTCTGGCCAACATTCTGATTGGCTAGCATTATTTGTTGTTTAAATAGTCGTTATATTTTACTGGATATTTTCAGTATTATCCATGGAGATATTATTTTCTTTCATTTTATAAAGAGAGATGCTGACTTTAAAGAATTTCAACTCACCAAATGTCATAATCTCATTATTTTTAAGACTACTTTTTTCTCTATTCTATAATTACTTCCTATCAATTTGAGAATTTCACTCAACCAAATATCTTTTCTTACACTACCTCTTAATGAATTACATATGAGAGAAAACTTTAAAATACAAAAATTACAAGAATGAATAATACTTATCAGCTGACAGGTAATTTCTAGTAAACTTGTCAGTATAATTAATTGCATGTATAATACATGCTACACTAAATTAACATCTAAATACCATAGTTAGTAGTCATTAAATTACATTTATCACTCTTGTTCCTTTGCAAAGGGTTTGTTGACTCATTAAAAAGTGTTGGGGTAAGTAACTGAATACTATACTGCTGTCAGCAGCTGGTGGTTGAGGTTCCCCATCAGAATAAATGCCAGAATAATACAGAACTGACAATATTAACATCTTTCACCAGTATTAAAATTTGGCTGGGCTTTGAAAGATTAAGAAATATACAAAGAGCTAAAGGTAAAACATTTTTGACAAGAGTAATGCATTCTTTGATATTATCGGAATAAATGGTTGGCACAAAGTAAATGATTGATCAGTGGTAGCTGAGGTGGGAGAAGAGGAGTAGTAGCGAGAAGTGGAGAAAGGGCCGGTGCAGAGATGGGTCTATATTCAGGGAAGAGGTTGTATTAGAATTCTAAGTTAAAAATTTATGGGGCATGTAAAGTAAAGGGAGTGGAAGAAGTTATCAAAGCATTTGTCTAAACTGATGGGAGACAAAGTGAGGCGACCCCCTGGAAACATCAGTGCATGCAGTGGCAAGGGAGCTCGCTGTAGAAACGATACAGTTCCCACATTACATAACCTGTGAGCTAGGAAGAGGCAGAAAAGACGAGTCCAAAGACAAGTAAGAGACAAGAATGGGACATCTCCAGAGATACTCAGACAAAAAGTTAAGGAAAACAGCTAAGAGAAAAGCAGAAGATATATAAGGCTACAATGAGTCACCTTGTTAAAAGAAGGAGAGCAGTGTTACAGGAGACTTTGCCTATAATATCATCAAGGGACATTCCTGGGAAGGTTCTGAATGTCAGGCTAAGGCTCCTTATCCCTGAATTTAATAAGTAAAGGGGTATAATAGAAATATGGTAATTTTAATTCATAGTTGAAAAATTATATTGAGCTTTCATGTTCATAGATATAATTTTTTCACTTTGTATTTGTTATTTATCCTTTTCCCCATACTGAGATAATGCATTTATAATTCATTCTAATGCAAACATTGTTATTGTCAATTTTATATTAAGGTAATAAAAAAGGCAGATTTATGAATGTATAAAAAATATATATAAACAAAATGTAAATATACAAATTTATGTAAATATGAAGTCAGATTTTTACAAAGTATTTTTAATTATTATTTAGAATGAAACCACCAAAGGACTGCTTTAGTTCCCAGGATGTTATTTTAGTTTGACACAAATGCAGTTCATAAGGAATTAAAACTAAGAAATGCAATTAGTTTTGTGTAATTTATTTTAAGCGCTGCCTTTAAGTGAAAATTTGCCAATAAAATCTTAAAGTAAGTTTATTCTTCTGGACATGAGGGATATTTCAAGATGAGCAGAGAATGTGTGTTTTTGCTCTTGTGATTCCCCAAAGGTTTCCCCTCTTTGTTCCTTAATGACATTAATGTGGTTTAGAGGGGTTATATGATGAATTTCTTGGGTTTACCTTTGCTTCAATCTGTTTAGTATCTGGATTCTGAAACAAAAATTTGATTTTGCTCTTGCCATCATCTGAAGAACCTTTAAGCTGAGAAAACTTATACCTCCAAAGGATAGCCTAAAGGGAAAAAAAGAAACAATGTAAGTCAATGGAATTAATATCTGCTTTCAAATCAAGAAACTGTTCTTTTCTAAATGGTAAAAGTTAATCATACAAAGTTAATACTATGTCCCAATATTTTAAAATGAAATTTAAAAATGTTAACATTTGTGATTCAATATTATCATTTAATTTTTAGAAAATTTTTTCCATGAAATAATTATTGCGAAAATACATAAAAATAAATTGCTTTTAGTATCTTGTCTTACATGCACGGTCAATAAGAACTGTATGTTTCATGGAGTCCTTTTCAATAGAAGTGACAAGGTGATTTTGAATTGATCATTCTGGAGCTTTATCTTGAAGTTTAACTAATAACCTTAGCTTTATTAAGATGACATATTAGATGAATAAACACTTGTGACAAAAGTTGACACGGTACTTTCATGAGATTCAGAATAAGCATTTTATAGAGCCACCCGCATCAGTCTATAGTATCTTGGAAAGTAGAGAGGCCTCTTTCAGAAACATATTCTAAAATGTAATTCCCTGAAGCAGAAAGTAACAGAAATCTGTTGCCTTTCCAAATAACAAAAAAGGATATATACAAGATTAAATTGGCAATAAGTGGGAATTGTCTATAACAATTTTTTGTCTATCCTATATCATAAATCATACTTCCTGGGAGTAGGTGCAGCACTTCGCTCTTTGGTATGTCCTGAAAGTAAAACCATGCATATCCAAAGTAAAATACCAAAGATATAAATCATTAAAGAAAATTGTGTGTGTGTTCAAACATGATCACATGCCATGTAGGTTTTTTTTTTTTTACCTTATCTTAGCATACGTTCACCTCATTAAATATATGATAGAAAATACTTTTACAAATTATTGTTTCAAATATTTTTAAAATGATTTCTTGTGGTTTCTAAATAGATCAACAAAACATAGCTGATATAGTCAAATATTTTCTGAGTGCAGTCCTATGTAAGCTATTGTCTCTGATGAAATAGTAAAGAAACAACAGAGTATATATCTCACATCTTTTTCAGAATAAAATCTGATAGATAAAAGCATATATGGGCATACCTCGGGGTATATACAGGCATACTTCAGGACTTTTGTGGATTTTGTTCTGGACCACCATGAAACAGCAAGTATTGAAATAAAGTGAGTCACAGAAATTGTTTGGTTTCCCAATGCACATACGAATTATGTTTGTTACAATCCTGTAGTCCATTAAGTGCACAATGACATTAAGCCTAAAAAACAATGGATATACCTTAATTAAAATATACTTTATTACTAAAAAATGCTAGGAGCCATTCGAGTCTTCAGTAAGCCATAGTCCTTTTGTTGGTGGAGGGGGTTGCCTTGATGCTGATGGCTGCTGACTCATCAGGATGGTGATTTGTGGTGGCTGGGGTGGCTGTGACAATTTCTCAGAATAAGACAGCAATGAAGTCTGTTGCATCGATTCTCTTTCATGAAACATTTCTCTGTAGTCCGCAATATAGTCTAATAGCATTTTACCCACACAATTTCTGAATTGGAGTTAATTCACTCAAATTCTGCTGCTGTTTTTCGACTAAATTAATGTAATATTCTAAATACTTTGTTGTCATTTCAACAATATTCACAGCATTTTCACAAAGGGTAGATTCCATCTGAAGAAACTACTTTCTTTGCTCCTGCATAAGAAGAAACTCCTCACTTACTAAAGTTTTATCATGAGGTAGCAATAATTCAGTCACATCTTCAAGGCTCCACTTACAATTTTAGTTTTCTTGTTATTTCCACTGCATTTGCATTTCCTTCTTTCACTGAAGTCCTGAACCTCTCCAAGTCTCCTATGAGGGTTAGAATTGATTTAACTTATTCCAAATTCCTATTAACGTTGATGTTTTGATGTCCTCCCATGAATCATAGATATTATAATGGCATCTAAAATTGTGAATCCTTTCTGGAAAGTTTTTAATTGACTGCCAAGATCCATCAGAGGAGTCACTTTATCTATGGTATCTATAGACTTACAAAGTGCCTTTCTTAAATGATAAAACTTGAAAGTTGAAAATACTCCTTGATTCATGGACTGCAGAATGGATATTGTGTTCCCAGACAGGAAGACATTAGCCTCCTTACACACCTCCATCAGAGTTCTTGGATGATTTGGTATATTTTTAGTGAGCCGTATTATTTTGAAAGGAATTGTTTCCTTGAGGCAGTGGGTGTCAATAGTGGGCTTAACATATTCAGTAAACCATGCTGTAAACATGTAAAAAAATATTGTCTTACACAGCTTGGGCAACGTGATGAAACCCTGTCTACAAAAAGGACAAAAAGTTAGCTGGGCTTGGTGGCATGTGCCTGTAGGTCCAGCTACCTGGGAGACTGAGATGGGAGAATTTAATGTTCCATTTAGAGCACAGGTAGAGTAAATTTAGCGTAATTCTTAAGGGTCATAGGATGTTTACAATGGTAAATGAGAATTAGCTACACGTCAATCACCAGCTGCAATGGTCCCAACAAGAGGGGCAACCTGTCCTGTGAAGTTTTGAAGCCAGACATTGACTTCTCCTCTCTAGTTATGAAAGTTTTAGATGGCATCTTCCTCCAATATAAGGCTGTTTTATCTACACTAAAAATCTGTTGTTTAGTGTAGCCACCTTTATCAATGATCTTAGCTAGATCTTCTGGATAACTTGCTGTAGCCACTCCATCAGCACTTGCTGCTTCACGTTGTACTTTTATGGTATAAAGATGGCTTCTCTCTCCTTAAACCTCATGAACCAACTTAGGCCAGCTTCAACCTTTTCTTCTTCAGTTTCTTCATCTTTATCAGCTTTCATAGATCTGAAAAGAAAGCCTTCCCCTAGATTAGGCTTCAGCTGAAGGGAATATTGTGGCTGGTTTGACCTATCCACACTATGAAAACTTTCTCCATATCAGCAAGAAGGCTGTTTCACTTTCTTATTATGTATGTGTTCCCTGGAGTAGCACTACTACATTTCTTCAAGAACTTTTCCTTTGCATTCACAACTTGCTTAACTGTTTGTCACAGGAGGCCCAGCTTTTAGTTTATCTCTGTTTTCAACATGCCTTTCTCACCAAGCGTAATCATTTCTAGATTTTGATTTAAAGTGAGAGGCATGTGAGTCTTTCACTTGAATGCTTAGAAAGCCATTGCAGGATTATTAATTAGCTTGATTTTCAAATTATTGTGTCTGTGGGAATAGGGAGGCACAAGTACAGGGAGAGAGGTGGGGAGCAGCTGGTCAGTGGAGCAGTCAGAACACACTTTTTTTGATTAAAATTGTTCATCATCTTATATGGGCACAGTTCATGGTGCTCCAAAATAATTACAATAATAACACGAAATATTACTAATCACAGGTCACCATAACAAATATAATTGAAAAAAGCTTTGAAATTTTGTAAGCATTACCAAAATGTGACACAGAGATACAAAGTCAGCACACGCTGTTGGAAAAACAGTCAATAGAGTGGCTCAATGCAGGGTTGCCAGAAACCTGCAATTTGTGAAAGACATAGTATACATGAAGGATGATAAAGCAAAGTATGATAAAATGAGGTATGCCTGTAAATTCCCACTTATGTCAATACATTCACACTGTCATATGAAGAGAAAGTTATAGTTAAACATATCATGAATATGAATTTTAATATATCACCAGTGATCCTTAAAACCCAGATTTCTTAAGGTCCTAGCCTCTTTAAGCAGAGTTTCTAATGAGAAAGTACTACCCCCTCACCCAGTAAAACATAAAGTAATTCCTCGTAAAATGCCTGTTCTCTAAGATTATCTCACAGTGGCACTGAGAAAATGAGATTGGTAAAGGTTCCAATAAATACATTTAAGGGTAAATGAAAAGGAGTGAGAACATGTTTATCTCCAGCCAACAATTCCACAGTAAATAGTCATATGCATAACTTTTCCTAGTGGTAATATTTTCAGCTTAGATATTACAAGTTTATAATTAGGAGACATTACCCATGGTCTCTATTTGGACATTTGTATTCTAATGGTGACAGGTAATAATGCCAGACAAAAAAATTGCAACTTTCATCTTCAACTCAATAAAGTGTGTGTGTGTGTGTGTGTGTGTGTGTGTGTGTGTGTGTTTTATCTTGGTACATGGGGAATAAATGTACCTTACATTAAAAAAAATTGTCTTACACAGCTTGGGCAACGTGATGAAACCCTGTCTACAAAAAAGACAAAAAGTTAGCTGGGCTTGGTGGCATGTGCCTGTAGGTCCAGCTACCTGGGAGACTGAGATGGGAGAATCACCTGAACCCAGTGGTTGACACTACAATGAGATGTGGTCATGTCACTGCACTATAGAGTGAGCCCTGTCAGAAAGAGAGAAAGAGAAAAAGAGGAAGGAAGGAAGGAAGGAAGGAAGGAAGGAAGGAAGGAAGGAAGGAAGAAGGAAGGAAGGAAGGAAGGAAGGAAGGAAGGAAGGAAGGAAGGAAAGAAGGAAGGGAGGGAGGGAGGGAGGGAGGAAGGGTGAAAATTTTTGTGTTTTTGAACAATTATAATATTGTCATTTTCTTCTACAAATTAATACTAAAACAAGATCAAAATGTAAGAATTAAAGTGACAAAATTAAAGTGACAACAGAAGTAAAAGGAAAATTCAACATGGAGATTATATAAAATAATAGAATGTTACCTTAATTGTATAACTAATACATAAGATAAGCATGATAAGGTAGAATCCTAGTCCCCAGTTTACTTTATATGTGTCCTTAAATATTAATTTTTATATGCCAATTTTTTAAAGTAAATCACTCATGCACACAAAACACTTGTAGTATTTATGCTAGATTTTTGAGGTACCCTTAGTTTGACAAATGTGGAGGAATATGAGTACCATGCTCAAGGAAAAGTTTAAGTCCATGATCTGAACAATTCTACTAGTTTAGTGCATCATTTCAGAAAGATGCAACAAGGAATTACTACAACATAACCTTTCATGACTGAAGTCAATATTT